TCTTCCTCATAGCAGTAATTCAGATCTCCAGTTTTAAAACCTTAAACAGTTGGGGGGAGAGAGAGAGAGAGACAGAGACAGAGAGAGAGAGAGAGCACTAAAACCACTTTGCAAAAATCCTGAAAAACTCTAATGCAAATGTTTGGATTTGGATAAACTATGTAAACTCAACATCTCAGAAATATTTAACACATGTCAAACTAACAGCTCTGCAAGACCTTCCATCTTATTCACAGTTAAAATCCAAGAAAAATAACAACCACAAATGCCATGATGAAACGGTCCAAATCAAATTTACCGTCTCCTGCTCTGGGATTTTATGCCAGTGGGGGGGACTGGGATGAACTCCTGGGCTTCAAAGAACTTGGACATGAGCTGCTGATGAGTTCCTCTTTCTGCAGCCATAGATCCAACGGGATGCTCTGAAGAGGGCAGGTGTTACCTGTGGCAGATGGTGACAAGCCACACAGCAACTACCTCTCTACCACACATGAAACAGTTAATTTGGCAAATCAAAGTTGTTAGAATTAATTATGAATTAGATGTCAGACAGGTGTTCATATTTACTAACTTCAACCAAAAGCACAGTTTCTCTATCAAGCATTGTTTCTGATCCTTTAGCAACATTCACAAAGCATCTACACTCCTTAAAACTTCAAAATTCACCCCTTCCCTCTGAACACAAAGGCAAAAAAACTTGGCAAAAAAGAAGAAAAAAAATCCCACAGCAAGAAAGCCTAAACAAAAACATTTGGTTACACACTTGGTAAAATCAAGATTAAATAAATCTCTGAAAAAAAATAAAACGCAAGTAAAAGACTGCTGTTAATTTAAAAGAATGCCCATGAAGGGTAGTATTGAAAGCAAGATGCCCTCAATTTCAAATTGATGCCTGTAACTCCCTGGTCTATTAGTGAAGTGCCACCAGCACCAGAGACATTGAAGCTACAGACAGTCCAACTGCAAGAAATCAGCTTCAACCACATCCTGATTTTATTCATCTCAGCACCAGAAGTACAGTGACAGCTTACACAAATTTCTGTCAGCTAACGCTGCTAAAAGAGACTTATTCAGTTGTTCACTCTCACAGCAAAGGACCAAACAAGGAGTCTTACCAAGAGGCCTCTTGTGCAGGCTCATGGCAAATTTTGCTCCTAGTTGTTAAAAAGCAAAAGCTGTAGTCAAATACTGTCTGAACTGATCAGAGGAGGTAGACTCACCATCTGTCTGCAGCCTGAAACAGCTAGAGAGAGTTGTTCTGTCAAATCTAAAGAAAAATGCACTACAAAGTTAATGATTAAATCCAAAGTGTGAGGCTGCATTTATAAATAAAAGGAAATGATCCAACCTGCTACCTATGGATAAATCATATTAAGAAACCTCTCTTCCCTCAGATGACTGATGGGGTTATTTTCTTTATAGCAGCTCTATGGTGCTGTGGTTTAGATTTGTCACCAAATCAATACTTCTAAAACACAAATGTTTTAGTTATTGCTGAGCTGCATTTGCACAGTATCAAGGCCTTCTCTATTTCTCATTGCACCCCTTCCCTGCCCCTGTGAACAGACTGTGGGGCTTTCAAGTGTTGTGAGGGGACACAACCAGGCAGGTAACACAAACTAACCAAAGAGATATCACATGCCATGCACTGTCATGCTCAGAAGCAAAAGGATAGAAGATCTTCAGTTCTGTTTGCCATCTTTTGTTCAGAACCTGGCTGGGCATCACTCTGCCCATGAGGGGTGATGTGGAACTGCCTTTGCATCACCTCTTTTGTTTTCTTTCTCTCTTCTTCCCCTTCTTAAACAGCTTTTTATCTTGAACCCAAGTTTTTTTTCTTTTGCTCTTCCATTCCTTAGCCTCTATCCCATTGAGGGTCAGCAGGGAGTAGAGTGAGGGGCTCTTAGGTGCCTATCAGGCTTAACCCACAAGATTCATCAGCCCTTCACACAAAATCCACAGCAGCAAATCACAGGATGTGACTATTATCAAGATACTAGCAAAGAATTATGGAACATCCACCGCTGCAACAATGTGCTGAAATGTTAGCTCACTAGCTATGGTTATGACCTGCTATCAGCACTTTTGGTCAAATAAGAATTAGGTTGATCATTTCTCAGTGTGTCATTGAGTCTCATTCATAAAGAAAGCTATACTTCTTGCCCTTTTCAATTACAAGAGTAAGTAGCACCTCAGATGGTACAGATGCCATAAAATTTTCCGAAGAAAAGAATAAGAAGCTTCTCCTTCACCTATTCTCTCCATTTATCACACCTTGTACCTCAAATCGGTGCAGTGTTCAGTTAAATGGAAGTGGCTTGGAATGAACTGCTGTTCAGCACCAACTTCTCCTCAAACCGGCTTTCTCTCAGAAAAATAGTGTGTTGTCCAACAGCACACTCAATCAGTACAAATAAGTACTGAACTTGTAGTCCTTACAGACAGGCATAGCAGCACAGCCCCACATTTAACCAAATTGCCTTATTTATTACAGGACCTGGTTGTCAGGTTCAGGAAGTTCCTTTATGTATGTGATGTTAAGGCACATGTCTTAAGACTAAAGTCTTGCTGTATTCAGAGGTGACTTGGATTTGCAGCTTTTTTTTTGTCCCAGAATACAGTTACAGAACAATACTTTTTCAGAAGAAAACACCACACTTGGAAAAACAGCTGATCCCTAGAGAACATTTCTTCTTTGTGAGAATTTCAGATTTTGCAAGAATGACAAGGTTGTTTCAAGATATGCCTTCTGCATATCATTACAGCAAATTATTTATTACTGTAGTGTTGAAAGTCTTAATCAGAATGTAAAATTTACTTAGCCACATATCATGCAAATACCTACATTTCCTGTGCTAAAGACATTATTTTATTTAGTTGTTTTGTTTGTTTGTTTGTATTTTAAGAAAGCTTTCAAGATATTTCAAAAAGCATCAATGGTAAAATAAACATTTTCTTTCACCTCTTTTTAGCCAAGAAACATTACCTTGCCATAAACGGCCGCACTTCTAAAGTAGCCAGTATTAACATTATTCATGATGATCTTCAAGTAAGAATTCATTCATCTCTAATGCTACTGCTTATACTAGAGGACATCTCCTGTGAACATGCACAAAACCACCTCGCTGTTATTCTTAAAGTACTTCTTTGGAGTTATGCTTTACTACTGCAACGAAAAAGCTAAAATCCAGGCACGTTCAGCACCCTCAAAACATGCATCCCCTTTCCCTGTGGTACGTTTCAACTACTTAAATCTGTATGTTGTCTGCTGTACTCATAAGTGTACATAAATATTCTTACTCTGTAGCTATGCTATGCCTTCCCCACAGAACTTAGTCTGTTACCAACTAGGAGCTTTAAGAGTATTGACAAGGAGCGATTCAAGAAGTTTTAACCCTGAACAATTTTAAAAGTCAGCACTACTTCTAACTTCTACCTTAATTGTCAAGCTCCCCCTCACAACTGCGACGTCAAGCAGGAAGAGACAAGAGAGGGACTGCTGGAATAGATGAAATTTTGAGTACCAGACATTTTCAGGTTAATGATTAGAGCCACGAACTGGACTTCCACACCTTCACAGCAAGTCACCCACACAGCAGAACCGAACCACTCTGAAAATGAGGGTTCTTCCAGCAAGTGCTGGGTTTAGCTGCAGCTCTTCAGTACAAACCATACCCAAAACGTAACCATCCCCATGGGTGCAAACACTACCTTAGGAAGAATTCTTTCAACATGACAGGTACCACACCACACTGACACTCCCTTCCACTCAGACAAGTAAGAATAACTAACTCCTTAAACATGCCTTGAAAAAAATCAAGCACAAAACAGAACTGTGCCTCATATGTAATTTATTTTCAGGGTAGAAGAAAATAACAGAATAAACTGAGTCCATGGCCGTAGGAACTGTTCTGCCACATGCACCAGGGTAGGCTCATTATTCTGACTGGGGATGCACAGAGCTGGGCATTATGACGTTATTAACTAAGTTACTAATAAAGACAAACTCTGAAGTGCCTTCAGGGAACAGACCCACTATCAGCTAAAGGCAAGCCAAAACTTCCACCCTGACACAGCACTGCAGATCCATGAGTACATTTAGGGATAGCTGGATGGAATGCTAACTCCCCAAAGCTCCTAGGAATAAACAGGGGCTAGAAACTGCATAAAATACTGCTCTACTTTCAAGTCCAGTTTCCAACACCAGCCACACGTGAGCAGCCACCTCTTCCTGAATACACACCTGAAATGCCTGCAAAAGTAGAAGCAATATTCATTTTCAACTTTAGTGTTCTACCAATGGAAAGATAAACATAATTCTCAGCATCCTGCCTTGCATTTTCAATGATGCAACCAAATATTAGGTTAAAAAACAAAAGTTGTAGGTTTCTCATTTAATTACTTTGCAGACCTTCCAGTATGCCTCTCTAATTTGCAAAGACACTATTATGGTTTTATATTGTACAGCAGTTTACTTGAAGATTGATATAGTGGAAAAAAGTGGTGACGTGTTAACTGTGCTGTAAAGGAGGTGGCAAGGAGCATTTTAATTTCATCTGAAAATCTGTCAGGACAGTTCTGTCATCATAAACCTAGCTCCCTTCCTTTTTCATAGTACCACACACAATGCAATGTGAAAACCTTCCAGTTGAAGAGGATTAATACTGACACTTGAATTTTTCCAATGTATAAGTAATATCAGCTTTAATAACAGCCATACACGTCATCCTTTATGTTGTATGACATCTAGAACAAATTTACAGAACCTCTGTTCTCCCAACAGTTCAACACACCAGTGGAGGGAAAAAAGGTAGGAATGAAAAATACTTAGGGGAAGCAAAGACAGTCATTAGAACAAGAGCGAGATGGAGAGGCAGCATTTCGCATTCCATGGCTACTATTTAGATTAATAGGAAGAGACCAGATAACTGGAACGGAAAATGGCTGCTTCAGCGACCTTTGGTGTGCACATTGCCAGCCCTGAGAATGAACCTTAAAAACGGATATGCTCAAAATATTCATCAAGAAAGGAGGGAGCAGGCAACTGACAGCCAGTTGAGAGAGGCAATGTCTATGGTAAGACTTACAATTCTGGGCTTTTTGGATCAGTTTGACCTCAATTTGCATCTTTTTATCGTTCTATTCCTTTAATTAGATTAATGTGTCTTTTGTGGAGCACTGGAGGTGTTGCAGCCTTGCTTCTTTAAACACATTTGGAATGTTAATTTAAAATGCTAACAGCAATGCACAGCAATGAAAAAGTACAGTAGCGTGAGATTGATGAAATTCATCTGGAAGAAGCATTTAATGCAGCAACAAAATCCTGAGCAACTGTCAAATACTTCTTTTCTGTCAACACTCACTTAACAAAAGCTTTAGATGATCTTTACTAGAGAAAAACTATTCTTAGCTGTTTAAAAATGACAGCAGAACAGCCTGATCCCCCTCTAATGGGAGATAAGTCTTCCAGCATCTCAATGGCCTGAAAGTTTAGTTTGATGATAAAAGCAATGTAGTTATTTTTAGCACTCTACAGGCATAAAAATACAGCTCTAAACTGTGACCTACAGCTATGCACAGCCAAGCATCACATCACACGACAGCCTTAACTTTAGCTACAAGCAGGGCTGTAGTTGCTTCAGACTATCATTATTCATCTCACTACCAACAATACCTTTGGATGGATTTAGCAACAAGCATTTGAAATTGTCACCATCTTTTTTTAAATTGCTGCCACCGGCAGAACTCAATTCAAAGGTAGGAGATCTTAATGGACTTGGTAGAAAGTATTTGAGAGACCATGCTAGGTTAAATGGATTACTGCTTCTCTCTGATACAGAGGATGAAAAAGAACCTTAAAAGCAGAAAAACTTAAACTGTCATATTCAGTACAGAAAGTCATTTTTTTTTAGCACAGTCTGAGTAAATGAAAAAAAAAAAAAAAAGAAAAAAAAGGAAAAGAGAAAAAACGCTTGTTTTCTTCCAGCAGTAGTAACAACCTGCAAACAGGACATGCTAGAATAAGAGACCTTCAAGCAAACTGACCTGAAACAACACTTTTCACAGACAGCTGCAAAGGTAATTTATGTTATTTTACTCCAATTTGCACGCTTGTGTCTGCATGATTTCTTAGAAACTGCAATTTAAAAGTCTACTCCACCAGATTTCTGATTCCAGGTTATGTGAACAATAATTTATTTAAAATATTTAAAATATAAATCGATACAGAGGTTGTAAAACCAGATCATGCAGAGTTCCAGTACTTAACTTTATTAATTAGTATAATCTTTAAATGTAAATGTAACTTCAAATTTTGGAGGTTTGGGGTTTTCTGTTTTGTTGGGGGGGGCGTTTGATTGGTTTTGGGTATTTTGTGAGGTTGGTGGTTTTTTGGTTTGCTTGTTCGAGGGGAAACAGTTCCCTGGGGTTTCTTTTTTTTTTTTTTTAACCATATACACTATAGGATAAAAAATGAAATATTTCCGAGATGACAGATATGCACTTTTAAATGTTGCAAACTTCATGTAGTATTTTAACTCAGAAAACAAACGGGAAATTTTATAAAATGTAAAGCTTGTCAGATTTCATTATGGCTTGGTGAATGTTATCACTACTTTTATTGTACCGCAAGCTAGTTCAGCACCATTAATAAATTTTCATTCAGACATGCAGTTGCTAAGAAGGAAGTCTACAGGTAAAAAGAACTAATCGGTCAGACAGAAACAACCATTTTTTTTCCCCCCTCTCAGCTTAAAAATGCCACTTTTTGGCTGGATGAAATGGTCAAAAACCGATTCCTACAAGCCCACAAGATGTCCTGGATCAGAAGTTGTTACAAAAACCCTGCTGAGGGAGCTGAAATGGCACCTGAAAGAGCGTGAAAGATTCGTGCAAGAGATCGAAAACGAACAAAAAGTCCAGAAGACTGGCATGGATTACAACTGGCTCAAGAACTACCAGAACCCTCAAGCAACAATTCCAGCTACTGAGCAACGGCAACTCGAAGTTCTGTGTTCACAAATCCAGCCTTGCCAAACAGGAACTGTTCTCAGCAGGTAATTGTTTCGTATTTCCCTAACTCTGAGTACTCTATAAAAAGTACTATGTTTTTCTACCTAGTTGAAGTTAGTATTTGGCTCTGATCTGCAGAAGTAGCAGTGACCAGCAACTGGAATGCATTTTTATAGGTGTTCTATAAATTACATCTTCACTTTAATATGTTGTACTTGAAGGAAGTTTTAAATCAGGATTTTCCTGGTCTAATCCAAACGAGGGAAGTCTTATATGACCTTTCGATACTTCCAGTTTTTCCTCTGTTATTTATCCCCAATATTTATAAAATAGTAACCCAATAACCCAAAATCAAAGGACTAATGCAATGCACTATTATGCAAAAAAATCCAGCTTTACTGTCCAAAATACCTGAAAGCTTCTAAAACTAGCAAATCAGTGTAAAAAAAAAATTCAGATTTAAAAAAAAATCCCCCATACACATTTCACAAAGAAAAATTCTCCTATGCCTGTATTTTAATACATTTTCTAGGGACTCACAGATACAACAGAACAAGCTCCTTTTAAAGCCCAAAATATACCTCAGGGCAAAGTCAGTTTAAATCAAGTTACCCAGATGGGCCAAAAAAAAAAAAAAAGGAAAAAAGAAAAGCATACCCAGTAACAACCACTTACTGTCCTCATAATAGCTGGAGCACATCCAGTACATTGTTAGAGCTCTTTTCCTCTCACAATCTTCTCGGGGAGGTGTGTGGGGAAACGTGGCAGCAAGGAAAAAATAGCACCACATGCAGTAATTTCCTCCTTCCCCCCTCCAGTGACCAGAGAGGAAACAAAAGAGTTTTCAACGCTGATGATTAGATTTCAATTTTTGTTCATTTCTAGATTTCGTGAAGTTTTGGCAGAAAATGATGTCTTACCCTGGGAAATAGTCTACATATTCAAGCAAGTTTTAAAAGATTTTCTCACCACTACTGAGAGAGAAAACCAACCAGAGCAGCTGGCAGATGCATGGAATACAAACTGTCCTGAACATTTCAGTCCGCGTGGCGACAGCTCTAACAAGTCGGACAAGGATGAAATCCCCACTGTTTCAAGTTATGTTGACAAAAACACACACAGCATGTTTCCCACCTTCTCTCATAGAATCTGGAATCTACCCTATTACTACCCATCAAGTTAAGTTGGTTTGTGTTGCTTTCAAAAAGTTATGCAGCCATTCGCATTCCTTTCTTGTCATTGCCATCCAGACACATATAGCAGTAAGAAATGTGACCTGTTCCCCTTTTTTCCAAGTTCAGAAATTAAAATACTTCGTTATAACTAGTATGCAATAACTTTAACTATCAACTCCCCTTTTATCTTTATAGTTTCTTAGAGCTGTTGTGTTTGAAGCCATCTTTTAATAAGCAATGTAGATGTTTCCGAAAAAATTCTGAAGCATTTAATTTTTTAGCCGTATAGAGCTAGAAGTATTTAAACAATAAAAAAATACTACTTTCCATATTTTGAAACAGCATCAATTCACACAGCATTAGATAAAAACTTCTGTATTTGTCACATAGTTTTTAGGCTCTATGGGAACTTTATACTGTGTAAATGAAATGGTTTCATATACTCTAAGTTGTACCAAATAAACTGGTAAATATGTTTTGAAGCTGAATAGTTATTTCTTAATTTCAAGAGTAAGTTGCATGAAACATTAACAGAACTTATAACATGCTGCATGTAATATTTCTATATTTTTTCCTAAAGTGTACTCTGCACGTGCTGAAGTATTATGAAGGTGGACAATTAAATGAAAGCATTTAGTTGGATATTTAATGGCATTTAACAACTAGCTCTCTGTTCTGCATGAAATTAATGAGTTATATTTTTTCAAACAGTTGTATATAATTTCAAATTTGACTTACTGGAAACTGCTCTGAAACCCTAATTCTGCATTAAACTTAACCATTTTGATCAAATCAGACAGTACGTTTCTAGAATAGCCGAAGAGTCAAGCCAGATCATTTCCAAAGTAAGAGGTGATTATTCTAAATTTAAATATAACAACATTTTTTTTCAGTTGCCATCATCTATCACTGTGGGTTCATAATAAAGTTTTACAAGACTGATTGGATATGTAGGAGTTACGGTCACAGCAGGCAATTGGAGCAGAAAATCAATGAAAACATATGCCAGAACTCAGTTGGCTACATTTCCAATTGTACTCCCATCACTGTACGTAACAAGTTCTTACATATCTTATGTAACCTCTTCTTCTCCAGATTTCCTTTTAATCTGTCTGCCACATCACAAAAAACGGGTAAGACTCACATGGCCCAACTCACTACTTTGCAAACACAGAGGAAAACTGCTTCCTCTGATATTTTCCTCAGGTATACTAAAGACAACATTCCAACTTCCTCTAGGTGGTAATAACAACTGCAAGGCATTTTCTTATGCTCCACAGTTGTATCCCCCACCCAAGAAAGAATTTCCTAATAATGCAACATAAATTGCATAAACAAATGGCATAATACTTTCATAAACGATGAAAATATTACTTAAAAAAAACCTCTGAAAAGCTTGTAATATAAAGAACATTTCATGTAGAAAAGTAAAATGTAATATACACGGGATGTAAAATAATCATAACTCTTGCACACACCAAAAGGATAAAGCATTGGAGGACAAGAGGAAAACATTTCCTATAGGTTTAAAATAAAACTTGCAGCTCAATACCAAAAGTAAGGAGTCCCTCCACTTACCATAAAATAAATACACAAAACTCACTATATCTGCACTCAGAGCTGCTATAAACTCTTTGCCTTCCTTTTGCCAGTTGTCAGTTTATGGATAAATAACAAAAATGCTGCTCTGAACTTATTCTGCTCTTCTGAGGCAACACAAGTAGTTAGAGATTCTTTTCCTGAAGTTCTAAGCCCTGCAAGACGGCAGGAAAGGACTGAAAGGAAGGTTTTCATTCAATGATAAAACCCCCCAAAGTGCTAAATGTGAAGTACCTTTTCCATAGGAATGAGGGTAACATACTGAACATAAAAAAGGCATTGGCAGAATTAATGTTATACTGAGAATTAATACCCACAATACCAGTTTCAGAAAATAGGTTTTATTTGGTCAAACATGCAAGATTGCTGCAATGGCAAGTTCATTTCTTTAAATGGTACCCTCAACAGCCTTCTACTGGAAAATAAGTGAAAAAAGCCCTCAAAATTTTGCTTCCAAATTTTAGTTATGGAAAATGAAAGGCCAGTAAACATGGAAGATCCACTTACCTTTATGATCACCATAAAAAAAGGAAAAAAAAAAGAGAGACAAAACCAGCCCCACAAGTTGACCACAGATACAACTTACCCATTCTTCATTAATTTCACTTCTATTTCACTTTAGTATAAGCAAATGCATTTTTCTAAGTCCAGAAACAAGACCCATCAACTACACCATATGCTAAAAGGCAGTTGTTGAATAATAGTTATCAAATGTATCTAGGCATCCCAGTCAATTCAATGTTAAATCCCAATGCAATGCTAGAGAAAGGCACAAAAAGGCTCATCTACTTTTATATGCATGTTTTATTGATGAAACTGATATTAAGCTACTGCATCCAGTCCTAGTGCCCATATTTGGGGGTAAAGGAGAGGGAGAAATCAAGGGGGAACTGGATAAGGTACAAGAAAAAAAAATAAGGCAAGTGCTGGGAAAATGCCATTCACTAAGGCCTTACTTTTTCCATTTTTTCAAAAACAGAAAATTAGGGGTAACTTTGCAAAATACGAGCACTTTCTCCTGACCAAAGTACTATATACTTTCTCTAGTTAAAAAGCAAAGAAAAGCATAGAAAAAGCAAAGGTGTAAGAGCAAGAAGCTAAGGAAATTAAACATATTTTAAAGAAACGTGTTAAGTTTGCTGCAACATGCTATAAAGAGAATCTGTTCCTCAGTTCACCAGCTAAGACAAGCCATTTTCTAGAAATTAGTTTATCCTCAGGTTTCAGCTCCATCAGACAGGAGTAAGATGGCTGTAGGGTAGTCATCACTTCCCTGCAGAAAATCACTGCCCAAGAACTCAACTGCTTCTCTAGGCACTTTTTATTTATGGTCTACATGATTAGCACGAGGTGCTCTGAAACTCTATCATTCCTTATGCTAAGTCAGCCATATTTCTGACATAGGCAGCCAACACAAACCACTCTGGTGACAGAGAGGTGAGTGGTAGTAATTCCAGAGGACAGAAATGTCTCCACCTGCACAGGTGTCAGGCAGAGCAAACAGTGTGAAATGTTTCTGGCCAAAGCTACACCTATGAAATGCAAGAAATGAAAGAGAGAATAACCACCTCTTCCACACTTAAGCCTTTAACTATCTTAATGTTAACCACAACTGTGTTGATAACAAGGAAAGATTTACAGGTCTCAATTTCTTTTCATTCAGTTAAATGTAATCAGAGGAATTAAAAAGTTAATCGGCGAGCTATTTAGGGATCAAAACTCTAGCCACAATTTCTGTGGTTTCTATTACCCTCCCCTAACAAGCTCAATTACTAATACTGCTATTCTAGAGGCAGTTCAGAAAACAAGGTAATCTTAAAAGCCTTGGAAAATGAGGCATCATTGGTAAAGAAAAAAACACATTCCGCATTTCTTTTAAGGGAGATGTGAGGCTTTTAGATGCCATTAGACAATCTCAGTAGCATTTTTGTAAAATACTAACATTTGTGTGCAATAACACACCTGTTATTATCACTACCAATTTGGTACTAAACCCACAAAATTTAGACAAAAGTGGCAGGCAGAGTCTCCATCAATAAGTGTATATCCAACTTGAAATAAATACAAATAAGCATTTGAAATATTTGAAAAAACTTTGGTTTTGATTTTCCCAAGAAACAAATCAAGAGTTTTGAAAGAAATATTAAAATAGATTTTTATGCCACAAGCAGCCTTAACAAAAGGGAAATTCTTTTATTTTCAGCTCTTTGAACTCAATTTCTTAAGAAGCCAGTGAATAAAAAACAAGCACTTCCTTTCCATCTAAGCACTTGAATCTAAACCTCCTCAAGAGTTCTCAAGTTTTGAAAAAACTCTTTAAACGTAAGCACGTTCCCAGAACTGTGAAACAGAAGCATGTATGGAAACAAAACACAGCTAAGCAAACATGCCTTTTCATAGAGGTTCTGTCCATTTTGTGGCAGCACATACACACCTACCATCTATCCTCATAGATTTTATACAAGTTTATTGCTCAGAAGTTCTGTCCACACTTACACAAACAGTCCCTTAGGGTGCATATCCCTCTCTCTCCCCCTAAGGTGGGGGGGAACCCAAACCCATAACATTAACTTTTCACTGTTAACACAACTGTGAAATCCACAATTAGATTATCTGCTAAGACTTGTGAGTGGAAAGAGATATTTATCCAACCAAAGACAAAAATTTGCCTCTGTGTAGGCACACAAGGCTTCTCCTGTGTTACTTGACATATTTTGGTGGCTTAGTGCTCAGTTGCGTTCAAGAATCTCTTGTCAAACACTTCTCAAGTACCGCAGAAATGTTATTTTCACCTAAATAAAGACTGAGAAGTCTCAGACATCTTGTACATACTGGATTCCAGAATTATATTCACAGTAAATAATCTTAGAGAACTATTAAATTTTGTCTGGTCACTTCTGAAAAATTTTAACAACCTGCATAAAATCCAGTAGATCTCAGTCAGATTTGGAGCTTGATAACGGCAGCACTTTTACATTAAAGGATAAAAAGGGATATTTTGACATGTCAGTTTTATCCTTTACTCAAAGCAAAGGCAGAAACCAACAGTCTCTGCCGAACTCCCGCACATCGGCAGTTCAAACATTATGCAAAAGGTTCATTCCTTCTCAGAAGCCAATGTACACCTTTTAAGAGAGTTCCAGAAACCAAGCAACCTATCCTGCTGTACATCATATAGGGTGAAAAAACACAACAAACCAACACTCACTGTAGACTGTACCCTCCATCTGATTGTGAAAAAGACTTTACTGTATGGAAGTGCATATAAAATACTTTTCTATGGCAACTACAGATACTCTAAATACTAAGACTAGCATGGAAGGCCACAACACCTTCCAGTTTAGGCAGCATCCAGGGGAAAGTATTTTTTCAATATCCAGACATTAGTGAAAACCAGTTGTACCTGGCTGCTATACAGATACACATTAAGTTCTCCTTGGTTGTAAACTCTGCCATTAGAGAATAAAGCATTTGCAAGGAGTGACATGGGAAGATACCTCAAATTAGCTTTACCCTGGTAACTTAAATGCTTTAGTTAGGTCACTACAGCAACGAACTCTTGAATCTCATTTTATTTATCATTTGCCACTGGCAAAATTATTCAGTTAATACACCTGAATCAAGATAAACTGGGTCTTTCCTAACTCTGTTCGTTTTTCAACAAGACTCGCTGGAGCTACACACTAGCGCTAACGCACTTCAGACAAAGCAAGTACCATGTCTACTGACGATCAAGACAACTGAGGTAAGTAACAAATCAGAAAGTAACAGAAGTATTAAGCCAAGAAAAACACATCTAGCCACACCTGAGCTAGAACCACACACAGTACCAGGGGTTTTAGGCTGGAATCCAACAAGTGCACAGACCCAGGCAGAACAGAGGAGTCAGAGGAGGCTGCCCAGACGCTGGGGAATGCCCAGCACACCCGGAGCCAGGGGCACACAGCAGAGAGGAGGGACGGACACCACCAACTACAGCAGCGCAGCGCCCCGCACTCACCCCGCAGCCGTCAACGGCTCCCGTGCGGGGTGGCGGGGGCCAGCGCACGGGGGGGCGGCCTGCGCCTCCTCGCCCAAGAGCTCGATGGCGGTGACGGTGCTGCCGACGGTGAACCAGTCGCGGATCTGCTCCGGGGTGAGTTTCCGCAGCATGGCGAGGGACGGGCGGCTCCCGGCACGGGGCTCCGCGCCAAAGCCTCGCGACGCCACCTCGGCCCTTCCCGCCACGCGCGCGCGCGCACCCGCCTTCCCGCCCTCCGCCCGGCCCCGCCCCCGGCGCGTGAGCACGGCTGAGGGCCGGTCCCGGTGCCGGCCCCGCCCGGCGGGAGCGATCCCGGCCGGCTCTGCTCTGTCGGCCGGTCCTGCTCTGCCTGCCCAGCCCATCCAACTGTGGTTACAGCTCGCGTTCCTTCAAACCACCCCCCAAAACTTATAACAGCCTTACTTGCCAAAGGAAGGCAAGAGGTACACACGCAGACCAGAAGTATATGTGAGGGTCGAACACTAAAGCTTGCCATCCCTACTGGATAATATTCCGCAGAAGAAGAATAGGAACTAAAATAAACATGTATCACTGAACTTCCCTTTTTTTTTCTGTCCTCCCCCTTCTGAAATAACTGAAAACACCTGTGTGTAATTTGTTAAATCAGATAAATACAAAACAATGCAAACAGAGGATAGCCCCTTACTTTCTCCCATGTAATTGGGGAATGTATGATCTCCACACTGGATCCAGTGCAGTCACTTGGTTGACTGCTCTAGAGCTGTTACTGTCAGATAGGTAAATACAAATCTGGGATATATGTGGAGTGATGAACATATCACAGCCTCTGGTTGTTTAACATATCGCCCTCAAAATCCTACATTAAAGAAACAAAGGGATATTCCTCACAAAAACGTAAAGAGGTTTTGAATGTTCTAAATGAAGGAGGTGAGGTATGTGCGGTATTTCACTGACATAAGTTATGATCCTCTATTAAATGCAAAAAAGCCCCAAGTAGGATCCAAGAAGACTTGCCCTGTGTGACAAAGCTCATATTTAGCAAATCTGGGGATATATATGTATATACTTGCAGATTATGTAAATCACTCAGTAGGAAAGTAAATGCAGTCTATGATCCCACTAAAGAATTTTAATGTGAGAAAAGAGTCTGAGCTTTGCCTTTCCTTCCCAGCCATGGGAGGCCGGGGTGGTCATTTCCCCTTCACACCTGAGTGCTACTCTAGAATCCCAGTTGTCCCATCCCTTTCCTGTGCCCAGACGAAATGGCCCACAAGGCACGCAGGTGCATTAGCCCTGCTGAATCTGGCCCAGTGGTGCCTCCTGCTCCTCCAGGACAATCTATTCCCTAAGGGACACACTACATAGACTTGTGACAGACCCTTTCTGGCATTGTCTTGGCGCAGGACACCTGCTGTGCTCCTTCTTGGGAAACAGGACTGAGGTGCAGGTTGGGCAGGACACTGCAGCAAGGTGCATTAGGAAGAGCATTCCCAGCAGGTGCAGGGAGGTGATCCTGCCCCCCTGCTCAGGCCTGGTGAGGTCACATCTGGAGTGATGTGTCCAGTTCTGGGCTCCTCTGTTCAAGGGAGACAGTTCAGTGGAGAGCTACAAAGATGATGAGGAAACTGGAGCACCTCTGTTATGAGGAAAGGCTGACAGAGTTCAGCCTCGAGAGGAGATAACTGAGAGGGGACCTCATCAATGCCTGTAAGTATCTAAAGGGTGGGTGCCAAGAAGATGGAGCTGGGCTCTTCTCAGTGGTGCCGAGCAACAGGACAAGAGGCAACGGGCAGAAACTGATGCATAGGAAGTTCCACCTGAACATGAGGAAGAACTTCTTTACTGTGCAGTGACCGAGCACTGGAGCAGATTGACCACAGAGGGTGTGGAGTCTCGCTCACTGCAGATACTCAAGAACTGTCTGGACGCAACCCTGTGCCACGTGCTCTGGAATGACCCTGCTTGAGCAGGGAGGTAGGACCAGATGCCCCACTGCGGTGCCTTCCCGCCTAACCCCTCCCGCGATTCCGAGGGAAGCGGGGCTGGCACGGCCGCGGTGCGGGAGCGCTCCGGTCCTCCGCGGCCATAGGGGGCGCCGCAGCGCCCGCTCCCCGCTCGGCCCTTCCCGGCGCGCCCCGCGGCGGCAGCGGACCCGTCCCCGGCCTGACCTTCGCGCTCCGCCGCCACGGTGGGTCCGGGCCCGCGGGACCAGAACGGCTCAGGGCGGTTCCTGCCCCTTCCTGCCGGGCAGCGCTCGAGGGGGGTATCGTTGTTTCACTGGGACAGGGGAGGGAGGCGCGGCCGGCGGCACTGGAGCTCCGCCGTTACCCACCGCCCACCCCAGTGCTGAGGGTCAGGCCTCGGGCGGCCGCAGGTGCCCCGGGCTGAGGGGGGCTTGTGGCGGGGAGGGCAAAAAGACGGCAAATTCAGCGCTGTTCTGGGTAGATTTCAGAAAAAAATAGCCTGGACGACGTCTCGCCCAGGCCTTGGGGAATGGTCTCTGCCGGGCTTTAGCAGGGTGTTAGCTGGAAAGAGCACCGCTTGTTGCTGTGTTTTGTAGTAGTGTGGTGTAGAAATCTTTCTTTTTGCTGTGTCTTGATATTCTGCTGTAGCAGAGTGACTGTGTTCATCTGAAACTACAAATGCTGGAAATTTAGGGGAAGGTGCAGTGTCCTTGATAGTGTTGGTGAAAGCACGACGCTGTTTCAGGAACTCCGGCCACAGTAATAAATTTGATTGAAATGACTGCCCGTAAACAAATAAAAGATTAATGTGGGTTTGTCTGTAATTAGACGTGAGTTGCCTCAGCGTTGCTTTCCTTGTTTAAGCACCCAGATCTCTCCAGCTGTTTTGGCATTGGCTGCCCTCTCAATGCTTTTCTCTCTGAGGCTTTGCCCAGGGATTCTTTACATTTAGGAATGGCACATAAGTGAGTGAGCATTACCTCAGAGAAGTTTGCCTCTGCTTTTCTTTCCTGGGACTCTGGTTTACCACATACTATCTGTGTGTGTGTATATCTCATTTTATGGGGTTGTAATAAGTGTAAATAGTGACTGTTGGGTGAAGTGCTGTGCATAAGGCAGTGGAGCGTGTGGCATTTTAGTGCAACGTGGTGCAAATGTGAACTAACATTTATGGGAGTTAGGGTATGCTTTATTCTAAAACATCCAGTTTTTTGGTTGTCTAACAAAGCTGCTTAGAGAGGAAAAAACACAACACTGACAGGCTTCTTGTTCTTGGGGCATATTTTGAAAGTCAAATAGTCATGATAAAGCATGAATTCATTAGCTTAACATCATTTATTTTGCTATTTTGAGTAGAAATTACCATGCTGGAAGAGACAGCTTCGAGGGAGGGAAGCTAAATTGGTAGTGCAAGGAAGGAGCCTCTCTGGCTTGCCTGGAATGAGACTTTTCTCCTGAGGGAATCTGGAAACATTAAAAAAGCTCTGATAGAGTCAGAGTCACTGATAGAGAGAGAGGAATTGCTACTCTATAAATGTTCTGTTGACTCATCTTTGAACCCTTTCATCAGCTGTAATTTATTTTTTTTCCGGTATTGTGTTAGCCCATAAATTGTAACTTTAACTCTGAATTTTCATTGCTTTCCTTTGGAATAAGTACTTTTGTGTGTTTGGGGATATTATTTTTTATCTGTGAACTGCTGTGGGTATGTATCAGGACTCTGTGTGTATGTATACATAAAGACAGATATATTGATATATGTCTGTGTCTGTATATATATATTAAAAATCCAGCAGGTTAAGAATACAGTTGCAAAACTTAGCATGACAAAACTTTTTATAATTTTCAGATGGTGCAGACCATGATTCCAAAGTCATGGAGAGCCATGAAATTCTACTTCACTACTGTATATCAAGAAATATGGGTTGGTGTGGCGTTAACAGCTTATGCCTATTACAAAATTTCATATGGGGGTAAGTTACACATTGCAGTCCTCATTAGCTGTTACCTTATAGATAACGTTTATAGAAGACAATAACTAACAAATCAGTCAGCAAAAAAGAAATTAACGTTCTTACTTAGGGCCAGGTCCTTGCCATAAAAATTTAGAAGTTTTAACTTGGCCATTGTAGAAGGTTACAGTAATAAAAATACTCAAATACCAGTGTAACTGTGACTACGTTATGAAGATCAGGAAATGTAGGAACTGATTTTAAAAACGCACATCTGACTTGCTCAAGATCTGAAAAAAACACCCCTTTTTAAAAGGTTTTCTCATGTGAATTTGTGAAAGTGTATTTTGGGCTGGTGCACCTCAAAATGCACACTGAATGTGAAAATGTGTGTTATTTGTTGACACTGGATTGCTTTCTTAGAGAAAGAAACATGGTGTCTTAAAGGCCCTGTTTTTCACATTAGGCTATGCTGAAAAAATCCCAAGTCAAACCCTTTCCAGTGAAATGCTACAAGCTGTAGGCAAAGTCAACAGGGAAAGGAACCCCTTGCTGTGGGACCAGCTGAGTGATATTGCCTCAGTATTTTTCCAGCTTTGTCCAAATAATGTGTATCATGTCCAAAACTTTTACATCGCACTTACAGGATTAAATAAATATAAGTAGTTAGGTAGGGAAAAAAAGAAAAGGTTTTAACTTTTGCTTTAACCTTTAATTTCATGGAAGATTTTAAAGCAAACATATCGCTTTGGTTTACATCTGTATGTCGTTTATTTATATATATATATATAAAAAATATCCATATGTTATGTAAAATACTAACAATCCGTATACATTTCTTTTGAATTGCAGTAGAAGTCTTGGCAGCTACAATTCCTAAATTCATGGAGTCTTGATTAATTTAAAACAAACAACTTCTAAAAATCAGTATCAAGTTTACTGAGATGTATCATGGAAAGTACATGTTTTGTGCACTTACTAAATCTTGTTTGAGCTAAATTAGCAAATCATAAGAAGTATAAGCTAATTTTCTCTGCAAAAAGTAAATAGGAAATAAAATTTTTTAGCGTCATTGTTCAGCTTGTATTTTTCTTATTTTTTTTTCCCCCAGGCAAAAAAGCAGTGGCAAATAGTAAGTATTATAAATCTAATACCTTGTTTTATTTCTTAAATGAGTGCAATAAAAATTAGCTCAGAATATTTTACATAAGTTTGGGGGTCAAGTTATGAATTTAGAAAATGTTTAAAGACTACTTCAAAATATGTAATTTCGGTTGTGTTGATGGTTTTATAACCTAGAAACATTGGTAAATCTGCACAGACGTTACCTCTGTCTTAATCTGTCTTTTGCATGGATTTGAAGAGTAGAATGGAAGTTGTATACCTTGACTCTGTGTGGTAGGAGTTCTTATAAATAATGGTAACAACCATTTAATTGAATTACTTAAATCAGCATGATCACAAGAGTAGCTGCTATTATATTTTGAATTTGTATTTTTGTACTTTATAAAGCAGTGTTTAGATACTGATGGACAGTTTCTTCTGATATCACACTGGAATTTATTTTTTCATAAACTGCTGTACCTCAGTTAACTGTCTGCACATGGTAGATAATCCATTTGCTCCCAGTTTTTTTGTACATGTAAATGTTATTTACATTTTTAAATGTGTAATTAGAGAAAATAGTGCCCAGTAGACTTCAAGATAACACTATAAATAAACTTCCATTGTGAAAGAACCATACCAAAACTAAGGAAGAATGGATGTTTGCCCATAATAGTGCTTTAAAACTTGCAGAAGAGGATTTTTAGTATTGGACAAGTTTATTAATGTACATAGTTCAAGGGTTTTATTTGAATTGCCAGTTCTTGTGCTCAGATGTAGGTACAGTTGTCTGTTGTAGGATCTGTACTACATTCCTGAATTGATCTGCTTTACTGTTTGAACAGTCTAAATTGTGTCTTTGTTTCAGAGTCCTCTGGCCATCATTAAAGACCCCTTCTCTTCTTGGAATATGAATTTGGTTGTTCGTCATCTTTACTGTAAATGAAGCAAGTCACAACCCTAGGGAAGTTACTCTAAAACTGTACCTGATCCATCTGCTGTAATGGGAGAAAGAATAAATCCATTGAGTCACAACTAATTAAAGGTGTTGGACAAAGTATGCTGAGTGTATTGTTAACCTAATTTTTAGAATAAGCGTTTTTTGTTTTCTACAGTTCTTCCAAGTTCCACGTTAAACTTTTTCAATGGTATTTTGAAAAAGACCAAATTTTTACAAGTACTTAATAGAGTTATCTTCCTTTTTTTTATTTTTTCCCCTAATGAAAGCTTTTTTGGCTATTTAGTTTAAAAATGTAATGTAATAGGATGCCAAGTGTGAGTACTTAAATCTCAGCTGTTTGTCAACTTGTGGTGCAATAATCAAGGGTACAAAAAATTTTTAAAGCCTTACTTTTTTTTTTTTAAGAATTTTTAGTTCTAAAGGATTTAAAATCAAAAGCTGTATTATTAAGAAAACACCATGCAAAACGCTTACAGATGTTATTTAAAAGTACATTATTGACAACTATCTATCAGTAGAGCTAAGGAATTACTCTGAAAGGCTCTTCCTTTAGTCACAGATTTTGCAAAGGACCTGTATTGTATAAGAAAATCGATACCTGGTGGGCTTTTATCTGCTATTTGAGCTTGTGAAAATCTCAGAGTTTAAAGGGAATAATGACATCACACACTGGGCAGCAGTTAATATGAGCATAAATAAATATTTAACTGACTTCAAAGAGTTTTCCTTTTTCCTGAAAATTTAGAAGTCAGAGTGTTACTGGGATGGGTCATAAGTGGTTTTTGCAGATAACTTTTAGAAGTAACTTCATAGCAAGTATATTTTGGAGACGCTAGGGACCTATGCTGTCTTACAAAAATCAGAGTTCAGAACTATACATACTGAATTCTATACCACAGATACATAGGGTGTAAACCAAAATTGGACTTCATGTCATGTTTTGTTTAAATTTAGCCTAATCTGCTTTTGAGAAGATTAGGAGGCTTAAGTCATTTTAATGACTTAATGCTTACGTACATCTTTTTAACTACTTCACTGAAACATCTTAAATCTTTCAGCTTGAGTAAAGTTTTGTTTTTCAATCTCTTATTGCAGTATCTGGCCATAACTTTTGAATACTCAGGAACTTGATAACCCTACCTGCTGATGGTAAACATTCCAAACATTGTGTTGCCTTTAATTTCTTCAAAATTTATCCTTATGCTTAAGCTTAATAGCTGTACCTACTGAGTAGAGTAAAACTACCAGTCTTATTTCTCTGAAAGCTTGTTTTACAGAAGGCAGGTATAGCATTACTGAATTTGTAAAGGTGACATCTGTCTTTGATGCATTCTTGACATTTCTTCCACCTTCCACAGTGTTCTTGTTGTGTCTTCCCTTGATATATTTTAGCTGATTCTTTAATCATTTCTATGTGGGTTTTTCTGTGTTTCCTCACCACAGAAGAATGAATGAGAAGTAGGAAGAATTCACTATTTGGGTTTTTTTACATAAAAATGCAAAAGCATCCAGAAGAAGGGAACAGAGAATGAAAACTAGAAGAAAATTGGGCTCCAAATGAACAGATAATTACCACTAGGCCAGTGGTAATTACAGGGTGGGTGAGTTGTGGTGTACTTAATAAGCAGGAGATTGAAAATTTATGCCAGGTAAGGAGCAATATGTGCATTTGTAATGCAAATTTATGATCACAAAGTTATAGTTCCTAAGATACCACACATACTTCAAATGAGCTGCTTTAGCAATTTTCAATTACAGAGCTGAGGAAAACAGACCAGGGGAAAAAACATTAATCACTGCAGGATTTGCTTCACCTTAGGTAGAACCCAGACCATTGGCAGTGAGGCACAACATGCTGTCTGATCTCCTGGGTGTTAGCTGAGAGGCAAGAGGAGCTTCTGATAACCTGCCTTCGGAGCACAGTTAACTGCACTTTTAGGTGAACTTAACCTGCTTCAAGTGTTAACTGTCTGATTTGCTTGATTTTCTAGTAGGGAAAGAAACTACGTATGGGCAGCAGTGTCTGGGTTATAAAAACAACAGTTTCTACTGAAACAATGCCATCTGCAACTGGATCTTCTGTTGGTACTTCTCTGTCAGAAATTTCTATGAGCTACAGAATATTCCCTCCTCTGTGATTCTGAAATATCTGCAGGAGACAGGCAAAGTAAGACTGCTCTTTATGTTTCAATAGATGTTTTGGGTTATTTACTTGAGTATCATACAGAAGGAGGAAATTCAGTCAGTGGCCTGACTCAAAAGCAGAAATCAACACACCCATAATGCGTAACACCTGTAGTACTATCTATATACTTCCTGCTCCTCTATGCTGAAGAAGAGCAGGTAGTGTAAAAGACAGTAGAGGAAAGATAGCTAAGGCATTGTCAGGGCCACTTCATATTTACAGTGTGGAAGGAGCAATTAATTTCGATTGCAGCACTAGCACCTGCAGCGTAGCCCTGGGTAGAGAAGCACTGCAGGGAGTACCCACCCTTGAATACTCCCATTTTAGAATATGTACCTTTTTTTTTTCCCCTAATTTAGCTAGAGTGATTTCTAAAGCTAACTTTAAAACAAAAAGGTTTTCTTCTTCCAGGTAAGTGTCTATACTGACAATACTCAGCTCCTGAACAAACCAATTTTCTATGCAAATGACTATGTAAAATCAGGACTCCAATCCAAGGAGGGAATATTCATCATGATTCACAGCTAAACTCTGGTGGAGGATATGCCAAGTGCTCATTGGCGGATGATGTTGTTTCCATTTAGCTGCTGCCTCTATATTGCTGACATTTCTAAAACAGAGGATTACATTTAAACTTTGTGTAGTAAAATAGTTCAGCAACTGCAGTTTTTGTTTGCTGCCTGTGACAAGGCATCAGCAGTGACAAAACCTGACTGTTTACTACCTTTGCCATGTTAGTGGAACAACAAACATCATAGGGGTCAAAGAGTCTTATCCAATTACTGCAGCACCATCGTGGCTAAGTTTTGCTGTGGCACTGGTAGTTTGGGTTTCTTAGTACAGAACATGACAGCTCAGCAGTGGAAGCTGTATTAATAATGACAATGCTAGTGCAAGATGTGGTCTTTTTACAGTACAAGTACTTCTGTACTCCTCCATGGTGGATCTTATTTATGGCTGGGATTTCTCATTGGATTTATGGCTCTGGGATTTCTTGGACATTTGGGTTTTCCTACAATTAGGAATCTCAGAATATCTTCTGCATGCTAATCAAATATTATGGAATACTCTAGAGGAGCAGCAAAATACAGTCAGAGCCAAGGAACCATTAGTCACAGGGCCCAACCTACTTAACCTCTTTAATGGCTAACTTGGAAAAAACCCAAATGTGTGTTTATGTTAATTTGGAGGATGAGTAAAGCTGCAGGAAATGATCCAAAGTAACTAAAACAGCTGAACTAGTCTCCTGTTTATCTGAATCATGACAGCAAACCACTGTACTACAAATACAGCCCGATACAGAGCTGGTATCTACAAGTGTATTGTACTTTCAGTCCCCAAGGAAGGAAAACTATCAGTTGCTCATTAGACACAGGTGACTGTGTGTGACATCACCACCAGCTGGCTGAAATGAAACCGAGGAAGTCAAGGTGTGAAATCTCTATTGTTCCATTCACGGAAATCTGTAAAGCCACTAGGAAGGAAAGAATAGTAAGATGGAGATTCCCTGAGGCATTAAATATGTTAGTTAACAATTTCTTAAATGGAGGAACAAGAAGTGACAAGATAGTGCTTGAACAGCAAGCTCTGCGAACTATAATTCCATGACCTTTAGCAACTAACATTTAGCAGCTAATATTCTTTTTAAGAATATAAAGCCACATGACTCTGATTTGTTAATTTATGAAAAACTCATAAACAGGACAGTCTTGTAGTCTACTGCACTGCTGCAGACAAAGTGCTTGGAAACAGTTACTCTCTCCTAACTCAAAGTGAACTGACCACCACAAGAATGGATAATTTGGGAGTTTAAATTAAATTCTGCTAAGGGTACTATGTGTCTTTCGTTGTGGTTTAGCAGTACAAATTCTCTGGCAGCTACACCAGCTTGTGGCATTTCCACCCTTACGCTGTAGCGCCTTGCTCCTTATAGTTGTGCTGATACAACTACTTGTGAATCAGATCAGGCAATTTTTCATAATTTTATGGGTCTCTTCCCCTCTCAAATAGCAAAACAAGCACTTGTTGGGACTTTTTCCATTTTAATTTGGACCCATGTGATCTTGTTTAAATTAAAGCTGCTTTATAACTTGCATTATAGCACAACAGCTTTTCTTTTTTTCCTTCAGAAAAGGGGCAGAAGAATCAGAATTCCTAGCTTCCCATTCACTCACCCAACTTCCCTAAGTCATTGTGTCCCTTGCAATAACGTAAGGCAAGTTTCCTCCTTGCAGGCAGCTACGCACATGATCAAAGTACTGTCTCTCCAGTCAGAACTGTCATCACTGTCAAAGTCAGAGGAATAAAAAGAATGCAGAACCCCACCCTGTATACAAATCAGGAATGTCAGCTTGTGCTTCAGCAAAGGCAAAGCCTTGCTTCCTTCCTCTGGGACAGCACATGGCTTTCTTGAGTTTATACTATCACTTAATTATATGGACAAATGAACAAACAAGTAGGGAACAGGGAAAACCATTGTATGATGATATCCTAGTGCTTAATACAAATTTGGTAGTGGTTCATCAAATCAAATTATATTATTGTTTTTATTGGTTATTATAAAATGAAAATATGTTTTATTATTACGACCTTCAGAATCCTAAAGCAATATTTTTTAATTGACATGACCTTTAACTATTTTATATCCATATCATAACAGTACCTTCAGTGATCTGCTGGGACAGACAATAGAGCTTTCTTCAGAGCTAATGAAGTGCGTTTGCTAGGAAATGATAATGGGGATTTACGTGGGTGGTAGAACTAAGAGCAGTATACTGAATGAATCCCATCTGTGGTGACTGCTGCCTACACAGACTTTTTCTGCAGTATCAGTTGTAGTCTTCATTTCTTGTTTTAACCTGTTGTGTTTAGCATGCTTTTGATAATATTAAGAATTGCTGCAATTAAGGGGGAA